GCGCGTGCTGTTCCTGTCCAAAGGCAGCAGCCGGGCACACATACCCGCACCGCTGGAGCAGGGCGTGGTGGCCGCCTTCAAGCAGCTGTACAAGCGTGAGCTGCTGCGGCTGGCTGTGTCCTGCGCCAGCGGCTCCCCGCTGGACTTCATGCGCAGCTTCATGCTCAAGGACATGCTCTACCTGGCCGGCCTCTCCTGGGACCTGGTGCAGGCGGGCAGTATCGAGCGCTGCTGGCTGCTGGGCCTGCGGGCCGCCTTTGAGCCCAGGCCCGCAGAGGACAGTGCTGGGCAGCCAGCACAGGCCGAGGAAGCTGCCGAGCACAGCAGGGTGCTCAGCGACCTCACTCATCTGGCAGCTCTGGCCTACAAGTGCCTGGCTCCCGAGGAGGTTGCAGAGTGGTTGCACCTGGATGATGATGGCGGTCTGCCCGAGGGCTGCAGAGAGGAGGTGGGCCCAGCCCTGCCCCCTCCAGCCCCTCCAGCCCCAGCCAGCCTGCCCTCTGCCATTGGGGGTGGAGAGGAGGAGGAGGAGGCCACCGAGTATGGAGGGGCCTCAGTGCCCACTGCCGGAGAGGCCGTGCGGGGGCTAGAGACAGCTCTGCGGTGGCTGGAGAGCCAGGACCCCAGAGAAGTGGGGCCACTGAGGCTGGTGCAGCTGCGCTCACTCATCAGCATGGCGCGGAGGCTGGGGGGCATCGGGAACACTCCAGCAGGCCCCTATGACAGTGTGTGACCAGGCCAGCCCAGTGACCTTTCTCCTGCTACACCTGGAGGAAGGGGATGCACACAATCTCTCTCTCCTCTCCTCCCCTTGGGGTGGCCCACTCCATGGGTATGGGGGTTACAGGAATCCAAGCCCAGCCTGGCTTGGAGGATCTCTGTTGGTGAGAGGTCGCCCTGCCTCACTGGCACCCCAGTCTTCTGGAGATGCAGCTGCAAGAGAGGCTTGGCCCTTGCTCCTCTGAGGGCAGGCACATGCGCAGGGCATACAAGGCACAGAGCCTGTCGGAACAGGTGGCTGTGTTCCCGCTCTGGCCCCCGTGGGGCTGGGCCTCTCCCTGCACCAGTCACATGCACTGGACGAGGGCCTGACACTCCTGTCTGCTGTCGAGCCCTGGTGCTACGTGGTCCCCAAGCCACAGCGCGATCATCTCAGTGGCGAAGCACACCAATTGGTTCTATTTTTTTTTTTAACACATTAAATCTGTTTTTAAAGATACTCTTCAGAGGGGCCGTGAGAACGGGCCGGGTGGGCTGATCTCGGGCCACCCTGCGGTTGCTCTGGAGGTCAGAGGCAGAGACCTAAGGTACTGGAGCTTCACAGTGGAGTCAGGGAGGGATGGATTCCTGTAGTCCCGGCTTCCTTAGGTTCTGGGTACAACAGGGAGGTGGGGTTCCGTTTCCCTGGATTTTTAGTTTTCCCTAAGAAAATTCTGGTCTCAACAGATCTCTTACTCCATGGGATTGGCAGCTGACTGGATTTGGGCCCTGGTGACCTGGCCAATGGCAGGAGAGTTCCAACCCCCCTTCCTCATCAGCCACAGACCATTTTGTCTGGCCCCAGGGCCAGGAGCCACCTGACATACCTGGAAGCGGACCCTGGCACTAATAGCCACCAAGGCAATCCACGATGCCTCAGCACCATCCTCTTCGGGCTCTCCTTCCCCACTGCCCCTCAAACTTGTCTGCCTCTGCCAGTCCATGGCTGATAAGCTGCCCCTGGGAGGCCTAGTTTGAAAGGTGGCAAAGGCCCCAGGGCCTGTCCAGGCCTGGTCCTCTTCTGCTTCGGCCAGGTCTAGGCCTAGAGTCCTTCCGGTGGGCCTGGGGCCGAGGATGCCCATGCCTCCCCAGGTGGGGTGGGGGCTGCCTTTGCAGAGATGCTGCCCGAGCTGGTGTGATGGGCAGGGGGCTGGCCCTTCATCCCCACCTGCCTCCAGTGTCCGAGCAGTGGGAACCTTGAGAACCCAGAGTTGCAGAGTGCAGGGCAGGCCTGAGGCCCACAGGGAAGGGAAGGGCTCTGCACCAGCTTGGCAGCTGGGCAGCTGGAGGGATTTCCCCAAAAGTGACTTCTGTATAGGTCCAAGGAAGAGCCTCTGGCCTGAACTGCTAGGAATGGGCTGCAAAAAGCCTGAGGCATTTCGGCCAGAACCTTCTCAGGGGCCCAGGCACCCAAGGTGGGGACACCACCTCTGTTCTGCCAGGCCTGCCTCCAGGGCTCCGAGGAGCCGATTCACGGCCACAGTGCCAGTGAGGGCTGCACACCTGGGCCTCGTCTGCAGCCTGGGCCGCCCTCAGCCCAGCTACTCATTGCCACTGCGTTTTTGGCAAGGCTTTCATCTCCAGCCCTTCTTCCCATCTCAGCTCTTTCGTTGGCCTGGGTCCCAGAAGGCTGGCGCTGGTGCGGGCAGACCCCATCCTCTCATCTGGGTGGCTCTGTCCCACAGTTCTGGATGGTCACTTTCTGTAAACAAGGCAGTACTGATTTTTGCTATTAAAAAAGAAAAGCAGGTGCAGGCTGGTGGGGGCATTAGGAGGCTGTGAAGTGTGGGTCTGTCTGCTGGCGTTTACTGGACGGGGAATCCTCCTAAAGAGGGCTTAAAAAGCATCTCCCTAGCATGGGGTGCATTGGCACATGATGCTGTGTGGCAGAGGCTCGGGCCGCTGGGCCCCACTGCTGAGAAGACCGCTCTGCCCATGCCTGGCCCTGAGGGCAGCCCCAGCCATGGATCCCTGAGACCTGGGTTGGAACCTGGTGCCCTGTCCCGGCTGGGGTTCCAGCTCACTAACCCTCTCTGGGTTCTGCTCAGTGTCTGAAGTGATGGAAAGACCCCAGGGTTGGTGGCTGTACTGGACCCTGGGGGTGGGGGAACGCTTTGGGAGGCTCTTTCCCAAGGTTGTGCTGGTACCGTTGCCTACCAGGCCCTGGCTATGGTGACAGGCTCGGGCTGGGGTGAGGCTGCATCTGCTTCCTCCAACAGCCATGACCACCTTTGGAACAAGGCCTCTTGCTCTGGCAGACTCTGCACATACCCTGCTGGCACAGGGGTAGGCTGGGGCTATGAGCCAGCTGTCCTCAGCTCAGATGGCTCCCAGACCCCCTAGCTCCTGCTCACTGCTCTTCCAGTTAGTGATCCTGTGTCAGCGTCACTGTCAGAGCTCCTAGGCTGGATGGGGGCTGGAGAAGGGAAGGCACTGAGGCAAAGATGAGTGCAGGTCCTGTTGCGGCCACCCGACCCACATTGTCGGGGGGATGAGACCACTGCCTTGCCCAGGAACCTGCAGACTTGGGGGACTCCCTGGATGTCCGCTGAGCTGTGGATGAAACATCAGAATGTGGTGGAAAAGGGGAGCACCCCTAGACTGGGGGTGGTCCCGCAGGGATCTCAACCCCTTTCCTACCTAGTTGAGATGCCCATGGGGAGCGATCCCAACAGCACATGGGGGTCCCTGGGCTTGTGGGGCCCACCATCTGTGGAGAATCCTTCCTCTAACTGGCAAACTTGTTTACAGCTGAGCTTGCCTGCTTGGATGGGCCCAGTGGCTTTATCTAATAAAGGCCGGACATGCCCACTTTGTGAGCATCACTGCTGTGAAGTCTTATTTTTATAACTCTTGATCCAATGCTTGGATCAGGAATACCCCTAGATGAATAGTTGGGGCACAGGGCATAAAAGGGGAACACTGATCAAAGAAGATTCCGTAACCCAAGGTCAGGAGGTTGAGACCATCCTGGCCAACGTGGTGAAACCCCTTCTCTACTAAAACACAAAAAACTAACTGCGTGAGGCAGCAGGCGCCTGGAATCTCAGCTACTTGGGAGGCTGAGGCAGGGGAATCACTTAAACCCACGAGGCAGGGGTTGCAGTGAGCCAAGATATCACGCCGCTGCACTCCAGCCTGGGTGACAGAGCAAGACTCAAGTCTTTAAAGAAAAAGATACCATGATCACATCCACCATTTTCTATCTTGAAGAACATTTTTGCCTGGCAATAGAAGGCACGGGAGGCCTGGGTAACCCACGACCACAACACTTCCTGCCATGCCCCAAGTAGCTAAGGGTGTGTCTGTCACAGGCCCTCACCAGCTGGGCCACGAGTGGCTAGCTTGGATCCTCCACCTCCAGAGCTGAGCTCGCCTAGTGCCCAGGGCTCGTCAGAGGTCCCCGGGGGGAGACAGGCCCTGGCTCAAAGCCAGTGATTTCTCCTTGCAGATGGGCTCAGTGTGAATGCAGGTGGCCCTCGGAAGAGCTGTCAATGTTCCTTCAGGGGGCAGTCTGTGCCTGACCCCAGCCTCCCAGACCTGCCCAGGCTTGGCACAGTCTCCTGCAGTAACAGGGTACAGGGGAGGCTGCAAGTCTGTGCCCTACAAAGCTCCCAGGTGATGTAGAGACCTGCAGCAGGTACGAAGGGGACCTCTGCTGTTCACAGAACCTGCGCTATCGCCTGACATCTGTCCTTGAGCCCACGGTTCTGGGCCTCAGCTTAGATGGGGCAGGCATCAGAACTTTTTTTTTTTTGAGACGGAATTTTGCTCTGTCATTCAGGCTGGAGTGTAGTGGCATGATCTCAGTTCACTGCAACCTCCACCTCCCAGGGTTCAAAGCAGTTCTGCCCTAGCCTTCTGAATATCTGGGATTACAGGTGTGCACCACCACACATGGCTAATTTTTGTGGGTTTTTTTGTTCCTTTTTTTTTTTTAAAGATGGGGTTTCACCATGTTGGCCAGGCTGGTCTCAAACTCCTGACCTCAGGTGATCCACCCACCTTAGCCTCCCAAAGTGCTAGGATTACAGGCATGAGCCACCACACCAGCCATTTTTACATTTTTAGTAGAGACAGGGTTTCACTGTGTTGGCCAGGCTAGTCTTGAACTCCGGACCTTGTGATCTGCCCGCCTTGGCCTTCCAAAGTGCTGGGATTATAGGCATGGGCCACCGCGTGTGGCCAGGAACCTGGTTTTATCCACCTCTGGTGAAACATGAGCTCACTGGCATGTTTCATGGTGCTCTCTGGCATGTTTATTCCCATCTCCTTAGGCTGACCCTCACAAGTGCCAGGGCCAGGCTTAGACTAGTCAACTGAGTCAGCCTGCCCTGGGAAGCAGGTAGGGTGGGAGCTTGGGGATGGGCTAGGCTCAGGGGAGTAAGAGAGAGCAGGCGGAGGGCAGAAGTCCGTGGCCAGAGGCAGCTGAGCGTGAGGGATGGAGCGTGCAGGTGCCCTTAGCCCTATTTTGCACTAGGAGATGGATCTGCCCAGGCACACAGGGAGATGACATGGCGGAACCTGCTGCCCGGCCTCTCTGAGGGCATGCTCCCCGCCTCACCTTCAGAGCTTGCTGGGTGGAAGCTGAGAGCTGCTGCACTCATAGGCCAGTGTGGAACTAGAGGCCAGGGTGAATCTTGTGAGGCACGGTACGAAGCTGAGGCTGTCTGGCCCAGGCCCTTCTGACCCAAAGGCCCCAGAACCCCAGCCTGCGATCCTGGGGCTTTGCTTCACCCCCAAGTCCTGGCTTCCCTGACCTGCTGTCCTTAAGGGACATGTGGAGGGGCCAACTCCTGCTGTCAGAGGCCAGTGTGGTGGTGCCAGAGCCATGGGGCATTCCAGGACCCTGACCCACGCGAGGGTTGGGAGGCCCCAGACCCACCTGGCCACCTGCCAGGAGCTTAGGGTCAGGAGGAAAGAGTGAGCCTGTATCCCAGCTGAAGCTGGGGTCTGTGTTTGTCCTGGCTGGCCAGGGCTACCCTCCCAGACCTTAAGCTGCCCCACCTAACACTGCCCGCCTGCTGCCGCCCAGCACTGCTGCACACTTGGCCCAGCAGCTCCTTCTCCTTCGCAGGGGAGAGCACACAGCCACCCTCTTCTCAGGGCACGCTCCAGCTGCCCATGGGGGCCCCACGCACAGCAGGCCAGGGCCCCTGGCTTTACTGCGGGGGAGAGGGTCTTTTATACACACCCTGTATGGCTTGTGCCCCATAGAGCTGAGATGAGACAGCTGGCCTGGCTGTAGCTGCACGGAGCCACCTGGAAAGCCAAAGACAGGCCCCAGCCCCAGACCAGGCATTGGGCCAGCCGTGCCTGTTACCATCAGTTCTGTTCATGGCCTTGACCAACAGTCCAACCATGCGGGCACCTGACCAAGACGCCATCTCTTGGGCCCCTCAGAACCAACATTACAGCAAGGCAGGCTCACTGCAGCAGGGGGCAGGGCCACTACCACAGCGCCTTCTGCCCATGGGGGAGGGAGGAGTGTCCCCACTGGTGGGGGCTCCCCCACCTACTGGAACCTCTCAAGTCCTGCCCCGTGCATTTCCCTGTGCAGGGGGAGAAGGAGCGGTTGGAGACCCTCCTGCAGGAGGGAGAGAGTCGCAGTCCTCAGAAGGTGCACAGGGAGATGGGGGCACAAAGGTGGGCAAGGATGGCCAGAGCCCAGCCTACTTCCTGCTGAGCTCCATGGCCCGGCAGGTGGCAGCCTCCACGGCGCTCATGGTGGCTGCTCGCAGCCCGCCCTGCTCCAGGGCGTGGAGCCCGTAGATGGTGGTCCCGCCCGGGGTGCACACATCAGAGCGCAGCTGGGCTGGGTGCCGGCCCTCGTGCAGCAGCATCTTGGCTGTCCCCTGAGGAAAGCGTGAGGTGACCAGGGGAGGTGGCGCGGCCCCCACTGTGCAGCCTGCCCTCACCGCATCCCTCAACCTCAGCCCCAGCTCCTCAAGCCTGCTGTTTCCCTGCCCACTGAAAGTGGTACAGCCTGGGCCTCCTCAATGGTCCCCGGGAGCCACCCTCACTCACCAGCAGGGTCTGGGCAGCGATGCGGTGGGCCAGGCCACTGGGCATGCCCATCTTGACGGCGCCCTCGGCCAGGGCCTCGGAGAATGTGCACACCTGTAGTAGCGGCATGGTGCGGGGGGATAGGTCTCAAAGTCGGGGGGCTCAGAACTTTCAGGAACAAGGCCCAGAGCACTGGCCATGGATGGCCAGAACCAAGGCCTGAGCCCAGGAGTCTGCAAAGGGGCTGGCATCAAAGATCCCCAAGGCAGTGAAGTTCTGGGGACAGCAGAGCCCCCAGTGGGCCTGGGACCAACCACACAGGCCCCAAGGTTGGACTCTGAGGGCAGAGGCCATCAGAAGGACTTGGGCAGGCCCCTCTTTACCAAGGGTAGGGCAGGGGATGGACAAGGCAATACTCACGAAGGCCACGCCACTGCCACTGAGGCCCGTGTGGATGTCGATGTAGGCTTCGGGCACCTCCTCACACTGCCCACAGGCCTCCAGCAGATGCTGCAGGAGCTTGGTCTCGCTGCTGCCCACGTGGCGGCCCCGCGTCATCACGATGGCCCCTTCCTGGACCATGCAGGGCAGGTTGGGCAATACCCTCAGCACCCGTGTGTGGGGGGGCAGCAGCTGGCCAGAGAGAGGTTCGAATCAGGGAGCCTGTGGGACTGGGCCCTGCTGGGCAGGCATCAGCAGGGACCTCAGGAAAGTCCACGTCAGCTGGCTGCAGGCTCCAGTGGCTGCCTCCCAGGTACAGCACCAGGAGGGAAGCTTAAGCTCAGCCATTACACCCAGCTAGGCCACCTGGCCACCTCTCAGGCTCTCTGGGAGGCTGCCTGCCACCCAAGCTGGCCAGCAGAGCCTAAGCTGGGACCAAGGCCTTAGCCCAAGGGACACTCACCTCCTCCAGGGTGCTCAGAGAGACCCCAGCAGCCACGGACACTAAGATGTGTTCAGCGGTGACCACAGGAGCCACCTCTGCCAGAACAGCTGGCAGGATGTGGGGCTTGGTGGCAAAGATGACGAGCAGGCAGCTCTGCAGCACCTCCTGGTTGGAGTGGGTGGTCCGGCAGCCCAGAGCCTGAGCCAGGGACACCAGGACCAGGCCTCAGGGGCTGTGTGAGCAGCACACCCTCCTCACCACAGCCCTTCCTGCTGAAGGCCACACATTCCCAGGCCTCTCCCATTGCAAGTGTCTAGACCACCCCCACTTCACCAGTGCACAAGATTCACCCAGACTAGTCCTCCTCCTCACAGGCAGTTCTGATGTCAGCACCTCCCCAAGCCCTGAGCCCTCCATCCCATGAATATCCGTGGCCACCGCCCCAGCATGCACACACACACGTGCACTCATGAGCACGCACTCACATACACACATATGCACTCATACACACGTGCACACACATGTACTCACAAGCACTCACACGTGCACATACTCATACACACGTACACACACATACATGCACTCACGAGCACTAACAAATGCAGACACACATGTGCACACATGTACTCACACGTGCACATGCACGAACGCACGCACACACCCCCACACACACACTTTGCTCTGGCTCTCCACAACCTTACCTTCCTCCCTGCCTCTAATCTCCCTTTCCCCACCCCAGACCAGCCAGTCTCCAAACTTCAGCTAAATAAGCCATCCATCCCTGGTTCTGGTAAACGTCTTAGTGGGACAAGAGCTAAGAGTTATCCTGAGCTCCCAGGGGTACGAAGAACCTGGGCTCTGTGCTCACTTGGAAGTGACATAGGTTCCCGTCTGTCGGTGCACTGGCCAGTATGTGCTGGGCTTCCACTTTTCCTGGAAAGAAAGGAAAATGAAGAGGGGTTGAAGAGGTAGGGTAGGATGGCAGTGAGGAGAGGGAGGAACTCGCCTGACCTCTCAGGCTCAGCCACGCCTGGCCCATCCTGGGCCCCCTTCTGCCCTCAGGAACCCAAACCAGGGATGCGCCATTCACTGGGCCCAGGCACTCAGATCCACTGATTCTACTTGGCAGTCAACGTCCCTGACTGCTGCTGGGTATGGGGGCCAGGAGCTTGCCTCATTGGTGAGGACACAGATCCCTGGGGCCTCTGCCCCCAGGGAAGGGAAGGCTGCCTAGAGCAGAAGAGGCAGTACCTCTAACACCAGGCTTTGGAGGAGTGTGGGGGTACAAAGGCAGCTGGCTGATTGGCCACAGAAGGCCCAATGGGGGCCCAGGTTCCTCAGGAGGAAGAGTCTGTTGGGATATCCAAGAAGAGGCTAAATGCCTACTTGGTAGAAACATATGCTTTTGTAGGGTACAGGGGTGGGGAGATAGGGTTAGATTTTGGTAAGGTCGAACAGGAAGACAGAAGTGTACACCACAACCTGAACACAGCAACTAATCATGACAGTGGCAGCCATACACAGCAGTATTGGGCTCAACAGTACACATATATATCTAATTACCCTGTACAGCTCTGGGAGGCATGTAATACTGCCGGGTTTCACAGGTAAAACTCCTGAGACTCACAGTAAGCTATTTTCCGATTGATCATGAATACTCTGGACCCTGAAGTATGGCTGAAGGCAGAGCCAAGAGTCACCCAGCTCTCCCTACCTACAATCTGCAGAAAAGCTTCTAAATGCCTGGAGAAGTAAATGATCAGCATAAATATCCCGGCTACAGAGCAGTGGTTCTCCACCGGAGATGATTTTGTCTGTCTCCTCCTCCCACCCAGGGCACATTCGGCAGTGTCTGGAGGCATTTTTGGCTGTCACAACGTGGGGGTGCTACTGGCAAAGGACGGATGGTCTGGCCCAGGTGTCCCTAGAGCCAAGGTGTCTGGGGGAGAAGCGCTGCTGTTCCCCAGGAGCGGGGCTGGCGCGCAGAGAAAAGGCTGGGAGAGGCGAACCTGGCCAAGGCCACGCGGCCAGGAAGCCGGCCACGGAAGCGGCACCAAGCCACGTGAAAAAATTAAGAGGAAACAGGCGTGGCCCCGGCTGCGCCCAACGCAGCGGAGGCCCGGGTGGATGTGCGCGCGCCCTCCGCCCCACTCTCGGAAGGACGCCTCCCACGGGGCTGCTCCCACGCCAGGCCGCGAGCCCAGCTCCCCACCGCCCCACCTGCTCTAATGAGGCCCTGCGCGATGGCCCCCGCCATGCGACCGGCGCCCACGAAGCCCACGCGCCGCGGAGCCTGCCCTGCAGCCGCCATCTTGTCTCACTGGCCACCGCCGCGCCCCGCCCACAGACCTCGGCCCCACCAATGGGACACGCCTCCCCGTGCCCCCCTCGCCGATTGGCTGCCGGGACCGCACGCTCTGGGCGCGCCCGGCTTTTTGTCCGCACTCTATTGGTTCGCAAGGCGCGGGGGCTCTGCGTCTCGCTGCTTATTGGCCCGAAAAGGCTACACCGCCCCTCGCTGCCCATTGGCTGAGAGGAACCGAGGGTTGGCGGGGCGGGCGGGGCAGTGGCGCTCCGAGCGGCCGGGGAGGCCGGTCCCAGGTGCGCGTGCGCGAAACACATCTTGGTTTTTTTCGGAGGGGCGGGGTCGCGAAGCGGGTTGGGGGGGCTGGTCCGGAGCACGCGGTCCCCGAGGCTCCGCCGACCGCACACGGGGGAGTCGCGGGGCGGCACTAGGGGCGCAGGCCCAGGTCACGGAAAGCTGGCCGGGGCCAGGGGCCTGAGACCGACGGGGAGGGGAGGGGACAGTGGGGGAGCGGAGGTGCCCGTCATTTTTTTTGTTTTTTGAGACGGAGTCTCGCTCTATCCCCAGGCTGGGGTGCAGAGGTGCGATCTCAGCTCACTGCACTTACCTCCCAGATTCCAGCGATTTCCCTGCCCTCAGCCTTTGGCGTAACTGCGATTACAGGCGCGGGACACCACGCCCGGCTAATTTTTTGTATTTTAGTAGAGATGGTCTTTCACCTTGTTGGCCAGGCTGGTCTTGAACTCCTCATCTTGTGATCCGCCCGCCTCAGCCTCCCAAAGTGCTGGGATTACAGACGTGAGCCACCGCTCCCGGCTGTCATATTAATGACACAAGATAAATTAGGTTTGAAGATCTGAGTCTGGTTTTGTTTTCATCATCCAATCTAAGGCTTCATGTTACAGATGTTTTGTTATTTTCTTCTGAAGCCGTTGACATTTCCTGAACTCTTCAGTAATTAAATCCTCTCATTGATTCAGCATTTACTGTGCAGCTGCAGCCTCTGGGCCCTGCTCTGGGCCTGGGTAAGACCACCACACAGCAGCAGATGGGACAAGCTAGATCACACCCTACCGCCCTGTTTGTTGGCAATGGAGATAGACCAGTCGGCACATGCAAGGGATGGCCAGTGTCAAGGCTCTGAAGCAAATGACGTGGAGCAGGATGGAAAGCCACCAGGAGGCTGCTTTGGCCACTACAGCCAAGAAATCTGGGTGGTGGGCGCTTTGCACCAGCTCTCAGTGACAGCAGCTGTCTCTCCTGCAACCTAGGATCCTGCCAGCCCCTTCCCAAACAGACTCCCTGGATTTTCTCCCAGGCCACCCAGGCCAGTGATGGCTTGGGACCAAGGCTGGGGGGAGGTGAGGGGCCGGAGGCATCCAGCACCATTCCATCATATATATAAGGACAAAGCTCATCACAAACGCGTGGACTGAGGCCAGGTGAAGAGGGTTGCTGGCTGAGTGCCCAGGGCCACCGTAGGTAAGAGGACTAGGGGCATTCAGCTTCTCCGTCCCATGCTGGGCCGGGCTTCTGAGCATCAGCTGGGAGCCCTCAGCTGACCTGGACAGCCAGCCAGCCACGGCTTATGTCCAAGGCGCCTCTCTGCTCTTGGTGGGGCTTCTTCCCCCTGCTCCTCACCTGGCATATCCAGGCGGGCACACAGGCACCACCCTCTCCAGGAGGCCTTTCCTGAACCTCCATGTGGGCAGAGCCTTCATCCACAAAGGGCCATTGGCAGGAGATACACTGTGAAGGAGGCCAAACCACCTCCTGGAGCTCCAGGTCCTGGGTTATTGGCATGAGGGGTGGAGGTTGAGGCAGGGCTCCCCAAAGTTTTCAGACAAAACACAATCCCAGCAGGGCAGATGGATGCTCAGAGAGGGGCTGAGAAGGTGCCATCAGGAAAGGTGTTTTGGAGGCTGGACCATCCCAGCTGAGGCCTAAAAGGTGGGGAGGCCTTGACTCAAGAGGGGGCCAGTCTCAGGGAGGCCTGGAGGACACCTTGGCTTGCCAGACACAAAGGGACAGTGACATATGAGGTGAGTGGTTGACTGGGCACCGGACACAGGTCTAGACTTGGTGCTGGGACAGGGAAGACAAACCACTACTGCCTGACTGAACAAAGGAAGAAATGCCTGCAGTCAGAAGGCATCGAGTGCATGAAGACGGCACAGGGCACCCAGGAGAGAGGGACCCTGAGAAGGGGTGGCCCAGGAACCAGGGAAGGTGTCTGGGTCCTGGGCGTAGTGGACCAGAGGGCTTTGGCCTAGGGGCTCCCTCTCTGTGAGGCACTGAGAAAGAGGGTGGCAGGCAAGCCAGGGCCTGGACCCCAGCGCCACCCTGCCTGACTGAGGCACTTGCCCAGGAACCATTCTGGACTTTGATGTCTCCCCTCTGAGAATGGCAGGGAGCAATGATGCCCACCTCTGATGGCTGGAGCTGACCTGTCCAGCAGGCACCTGTCCCTCTCCATGGGACGAGGGCAGGTGAGGACCCACACCCAAGCCTGAGGGCCACAGAGATGAGAGGCCAGGCCATGGGGAGGCCGGAGCCACCCAGTCATCAGCCTCCCCTCAGATCCATCCATGGGCTCCACTCAGCTGGCCCACTAGATCAGTTCCCCCAGAGCTCTCAGGCTGAGGAGGGAGGCCTGGATGAGCCCAGGTTACTCAGGCCTGCAGGTGGCCTCATGTGGAGAGGCTGGGGCTGGCCCTGCCCTGCACATCCTTGTCCAGCTGACAGTCCATGCCAGTATCATTGCTGCCTGCCCACATGCATGCCTTCCCAGCTCCGGCCTCTGCAGCCTTTCCACCCCAGGGAGTTGCCAGCTCTCAGGGGCTGAACAGCAAGCAGGGGGACAGTGAGTCCGGGTCTGGCCAGGCCAGGGCTCAGTGCCTGATTGTGGGGGACGGCTCAGCAGAGCTGCCAAGGCCAGGCCTGTGAAAATGCACTTTATTGGCTCCCAGGGAGTGGGATGCAGGATCAGAGCGGGCACACGCAGGGCTGGGGGCCTGTGTGGGGAGCAAAGGGCCGGGCCTGCCTGGGCCCTGGTTTCCCTGAGGACTGTCATGAATGGAGGCCCCACTGGACAGATGCCTGGAGCTGCAGAGCGGATGGAACATGGGCTCAGGTCGCTAGGTGATGCCCTCAGCTCCTGGCACGGTTGGTAGGTGGTAGCCAAGGGGCTCAGCCAACAGACGGTTTGCAGGCACCTGCTCCTGCCTTCCAGCTTCACTTCCGGGCCTGCTCGTAGTTGTCAGTGAACCATGCACAGGTCTCCTTCACCGCTGCAGAGGAGGGCAGGTGAGGGCCAAGGGCAGGGAGGGCTAGGGGCGCACGGGAGGAAGTGGGGGGAGGTGCCTCACCCCCTGCTCTGGTAGGGAATATGGGGGAGGGGGCGGGGGAAGCCACCAGGTGTGGGAGGCACCAAGTGGAGGGCTGTGGGGTGGGGCTCACCCTGCTTGAAGGGTGTGAACCGGAAGTCGGGCAGGTAGTTCCTCAGCTTGCTGTTACTAGCTGTCTTCTTAAACTGCCCATCCGACTTGGTTGTATCAAACTGGACTCTTTGTCAAGGCCACAGCGAGGGGAGCACCTCCACTCCCAGCCCCCGCAACTTGCCCTTGAACCTCTGCCATTACCAGGGGAAGCATAGCAGAGCCCCTCCTCCTGCCAGGGTGGGTGCCCTCCCTCCAGTGTCCCACCCAACCCCCAGCGCTGGAGCCAGAGGATACGGTGACCTCCCCATGGAAGTCCATAGCTTCTGCCACCGCCTCGGCTGCCTCCTTGATGGAGACCTCATCTTCCTCGCCCACTGCAGGGAGCCACTGTGTCAGGCCTCCCGTCACTGCCGCCCATCTGCCCATTAATATTCCTGCCCCCACCCTTCAGCCAGCCTCCCAGGACAGCCATGGATCCTGTCCCACCATGGAGGAAGGGGGCTGGGGGCTGTGGTGCCCACCTGAGAGGATGATGGGCTCCACCTCATTGTACTCCCGCAGGACCCAGATAACGAGCTGGGCCAGGTCCTAGAGCCAGACAGGCAGGGTCAGAGACCAGGGAGATAGCCACAGGTCCCCTCTCCCAAACACTCCTGCCGGGGAGTCCACGCTCTTGTTCTTGTTTGGTGGGGGCTCAGCCTGGGGACCAGGGGTCCCTCCTTTCTCCCTCCGAGCTCAATGACACCAGTGACTTCTGGAAACATGAGCCTATGGGGCCTCCGTGAGGCCCAGAGATGGCTCCTCTGGGAGCTCAGCCCAGTCTCTCTCCTGGTCCCAAGCTCCCTTCTGCACCACTTCCCCTACAAACCAGCAGGGGCAAGCCCAGGGCTCACTGGGGCAGGTTCTCTGGGGAGAGCTGTGCCTTCCTTTACGCACCAGTGAGTATATGAACTGCCTCCGAGGCTTCCCTGTACCCCACACCGTCAGGGCCGAGCCGCTGCCTGCAGATTCGGGGAGGGAGCAGGTGTCAGAGGCACTGGATCACCTCCTCCCGAGCTGAGCCCGGGCACCCCCCACGGGGTGGATGCACTCACTCTTGGCCAGGTGCACCTTGTGGATGAGGCCAGGCAGCACATGGCCATCCTCGATGTTGAAGTTGTCATGGGGCCCGAAGACGTTGGTGGGGATGACAGCGGTGAACGTGCAGCCGTGCTGCTGGAAGTAGGCCCTGCGGAGGCACAGGGTCTCCTGCCCTCGTCCTGGGATTGCGAACCCACCCAACGCTGCCGCTGGCCTCTTACTGAGGCTGGCATGAAGACCCGACCCGGCTGGCCCCACCCGCCCCGGGGGCCCTCTCCCCCACTCTTGGCTGGGGCCTCAGCAGGACGGGTGTGAGGACCTGTTCTGCACGTCGATCATCCTCTTGGCATACGAGTACCCAAAATTGCTGCTGTGGGGCGGCCCGTTGTGGATCTGCGGGGGCGGGAGAGGCAGAGGCCGCTACTTCCAGGCTCCGCCCACAGCTCCCCGGCCCCGCCCAAACCAGGCCCCACCCCTCACCATGGTCTCATCTATGGGGTAGGTAGTCTTGTCAGGGAAGATGCAAGTGGACAGGCAGGACACCACCTTGCGGGCGCCCACCTCGAAGGCCGAGTGCAGGACGTTGTCATTGATGTGCACATTTTTCCTCTGCAGGGGTGAGGTGGGACAGATCAGGCTTCCCAGGCCAGATCCTAGCCTTGGCCTTTCAGACGTGGCAGGAACCCAAGCCTACTTATTTATTTATTTATTTTTCTTTTTTGCCCCCTCTGACTTTCTTTTAACAGCACCAAGCCTTCGGGACAAGGAGAGGCTCTTGGGCTTACAGACACCACTACTCTACCCCACAACAAGGCTGCAGGAGGGGCTGGCTCTGCCTTCCGGGTGTGAGGAGAGAACCACACCCCCAGCTCAGGGGTGGGCCCCACCCAGGAGGCTGCAGAGGTCAGGACAGGTAGTGGAGGCTGGGAAGGAGCCCAGAGGGCCCAGTCTGGCCCTGGGCTGGGCTGGAGCTCCCACTACACGGGGAACGGGGCGGTCTACTTCCCCCGCCAAGCCCCACTTCCCTTGCATGAAATGGACAAGGCATGGCTGCAGCATGGGGACTGTCTTGGGAGATGGGAGAGGTGGTGGCCAGGCATCCTGTTGAGAAGGCTGAGACACAGACAAGGAGCGCTCTGGGGTGACAGGCCCCTGGGCAGAATCTGGTCTGAGCCTCTGCTGACCCATGCCTCGTACAAGCCAGCTAGGGCAAGGCTGCTGCCCAGAGACACCTGTGGGGTCAACTCTCCGGGGCACAGCTAGCCTGGGCAGGGCCCTTAACACCACGCCCCCCTTTCCCCAGGCACAGGACAAGATGCACGGAGCGCAGTTCGCACCACTGTACCCCAGAGTGTGTCGTGGGCCTGGCTCAGGGGAGCTGGGCCAGCACAGTCCTGGGAGCCAGAGGCTCTGGAGGCCCTGGGGACTCACGGGGTAGGAACCAGCTCCCATTCCTATGGTGGCTGCTGGCTCCTTTCAGCTTCCCAATGCCACTGGTCAGCTCTACAGCTTTTATTAATGGGCCAAGTGCCCCAGGCCCACCTGCATGACCCTCTGTCCACAGCACCTCAGGGGCTGCTCCCACCAGGCTGTGCCAAGCCCTGGTCCTCAGGGACTTCCTGGGGTGGGAATGTGGGCCGGTGAGAGTGGGAAGCCGGCCAGGAAGTTCCCAGAACCTGGGATCCTGGTTTCCAGCAATTGCTGGGGCCACCCTCACTTACCCAGAAGTCCAAATTGTATTTGATATTCCGGAACAGGCCCCCCACCATTGCAGCAAGATGGATGACGTGCGTGGGTCGGACCTTCTCAAACAGGGTGCGGGTCTGTGCTGCATCCCTGGGGGGAGCCAGGGTGTCAGGAGGCTCTGGAGGGAACCAGCACCCCAGGGTTGGGTGCAAAGTGCAGGAACCAGGTGGGGCTATGGCAGGAGGGACAGCCAAAAGGAAGGGTGGCCCCAGGGCCTGGCTGGTGTGAGGGTGCAGGCTTCTGGGAAGAGATGGGAGGATGTTTGTCTAGGAGCACAGCCAAGCACACCAGGCCAGGCCAGCCACCTGGCAGGGAGGATCCAGACACACAGCTACTGCTAGACTCAGGAACAGGCCCAGCCTGGAGCCCTTAGTTCTGGGGTGCAGGGAGGATGGGGAGGAAGGGCTGATCCGGGGATGGGCTCTCTCACGTGAGATCGGCGTCCTTGGAGGAGACAAACACCCAGTCCTCTCCAGGAAGGCCAGCTCCATCTGCTACCACCTTCTGGATGGCTTTGCCCACCAGCCCAGAGCCCCCCGTCACTAGAATCCGCATGGACCCCTGGGGTTCACCCATGTCAGCTGCACCTGTAGTGTCAAATAATGGGAGGCTGAGGCCATCATACTCCCCTTTGGAGCCCCACTCTTCTGGGGCAAATGGTACAGAGTGAAGCCCTCAAGGAGGGGACGTAGTCCACTGGCAACCAGAGAGACCCAGCTGGACCGAGGCACCCCCCTCGTCGCAGTCCTGTTCCCCAGGAAGCCCTCAGGCTACAGAGCCACAGGGGTCCTGAGCTACCACTCAGCCTAGAGCAGCTGGTCCCAACCCACTGGGCCAAGAAAAAGTACATTATACTCCCCTCTGGCTGACAAGAGGGGAGGCAGACAACTTCGGGGCTGCGGCCCCTGGCGCAGGTCGTTAACACGGCTCGCAGCCAAAGCCCGCACGCACAGGCAAGAGGCGGCGCCTGTGAGCAGCCCCAGCCCACTCCAGGCAGGCTGGTGCTGGAGAGCCCGGGAGGGCCAGATTCCTCCAGAGCAGGACAGGCCTCCGGGCGCAGCCACCCTCACGATCCTATCCTGGGAGCCGGAAACCTACTCGGGCTCCGCGGCAGGGCCCCAGGGCCAGCCCTTATGGGAGGGGTCCCTGCGCAGGCATCGCGCGGCTCCCCTGCACGCCGGGAGACCCCTACCACGGCCCCAGGTCGACCCCACGCCCCTCGATCCCAGACCCCCACAGCGTTCCCTGACTCTCACGCAGCACCCACGGCCCAGACCGCAGCAGGTCCCGTGCCACCTCACCTGCGTCCCGCCCCGCCTCCGGCTTCCCAGCAGCAGCTTCCGGCCGGGTGCGCTCCGAGTTTGCGCAGCGCCAGGTGAGAGGCGGGGGCGGGGGGGCGGCGGGCCGGGGGGCGGCGCACTCTGGGAAATGGAGTCCCGGCAACGCGCAGGCTGCTGGGACATGGAGTCCGCGGCCGCAAAGCCGCCTGGGAAGCGCAGTCCCTCCCGCCTTCCGTGCGCTGGCGGGACCCCGAGGGCAATCCGAGGCCGCGGCCTCCGCAGCGGGTTGGGCGCGGGCTGGGCCGAGCCCCTGCTGGGGGCGGGAGACAAGGGCCGGAGGGCAGCGCCGCGCGGACGGCCCACGCGTCGGGGGGAGCCTCGCGGGCGCGGCATTTGCCCGACCGGGAGCAGCAGGGCCGCCTCGGGAGCCGCCCTCCGCCTGGCCGGGGCGCGGGGCTGCGCGGGGCGGGACTGGGCGGGGCTGCGGGCGCTGGGGCTCGGCGGGCTCGCGCTCCGGGGTCTCCCTCTGCTCCCCTCCGCTCCCGGGGTTCCGCCCCCGAACCCGCAGACCCAGTGGCCAGCCTCTTGGGTTCCGAACGAGTCAAGGAGCCCGGCTTGTCGCCCCGAGCACGTGCGCGGGCGGCTCGTGCAGCAAACAACCGCGGATCCCGATGGCCGGTCACGATGGGCCGTAGTGGGTCGCGGCGGGTCACAGCGATCACGATGGCGGGTCACGATGGGCCGTAGTGGGTCGCGGCGGGTCACAGCGATCACGATGGCGGGTCACGATGGGTCACGGCG